CACACGACACAGTCCCTGGGGGTCCCATTCGGGGCAGGTGCCAGGGGGTCGGGGGGGAGGTTTGGGTGGGAAGAGTGGGTGAGCGGTGTGGCAGGCTGGGCACCCCGCCGTGCCGCAGCCGTGTGCCCCTGATACGTGGGGACCCCACTCGATTCCCAGGCAGGTGTGGGGTTCGTTCCCCACGATGTCTGGGGGGGGAACCGGGCATCCCTCGGGGGACACCCTGGAGCAAGGCGGGTAACTCTGTAAACCCCCCCCCGCTCTGCAAGGGGACAAGGGACCCCAGGGAGATGTGGGGAGGGGGTTTCCCTTCCCGTGGGGTGCAGAGCTACAGGGCATCTCCTCCGGACCCCGTGCCCACGGTGGGTCAGGGAAAGGACCCTTTGCCAGCCCCCGAGGCACCAGCATCCTACATTTCCCAACTGGGAAAACCCACTGGGGTTTTTTTCTCCCCTCCGGTTCACCCCCGCTAACCACCCCCTCGTGTTTCGGCAGGTTCCCTGGCAGCGATGGAGGAAGGCGAGGATGGCCCGGCAGGGGAGAAGAGCCCCTCGGAGAGGGAAGGGGCCGCCTCGGACTGCGAGGGCTCTGCCGAGCGTGACAGCTCCAGCCCCCCCGGCAGCGAAGGTGAGCCTCGCCGCGATGTCGGGGGGCTGCCCGTGGTGTCCCCTCGCCACGGGGACGGGCTCTGCCACTGGAGCAACCTGCCGGGCACGCCGGCATCCTGAGCATCGTCTCCGCTGTTGGTGCGTGGCGTTAATTAGCAAAACGAAGTATCCCGCGCGCCCGTCGAGGGTTGGGCTGTCGGTTAAGTGAGACCTCCCCGGTCTTTCTGGGGTGCTCCATCCCTCCGGGCACCCTCCGGCCAGCGGTGGGACCCACTGGTGGCAGCCCAGTCCCGGGGTGACGACGAGCAATGGGCCAGGAGCGAGGATGCTCCCCGGCACAGAGGGGATCCCCACGGCCGGCATGGGCAGGAGCAATCTCGGCTTGGCCGGGGGGCAACGGCGTGCCGGGGGGGGGCTGCTGGAAACCGGAGGCGGGTTGCTCGCCGCGAGGGCTGCTAATGAGCACCGTCACCCTGTATCCGTTTCAGCACCTTTCACCTGCCGCGGCGCTGAGCCACTGGTGACAGCGGAGGGATGTGGGGGTGCAAAGTGACCCCCTCCCTGGGATGCAAAGTGACCCCTTGGGGTACAAAGTGACCCCTTGGGTTGCAGAGTGACCCCTTGGGGTGCAAAGTGACTCCCCCCAGGATGCAAAGTGACCCCTTGGGGTACAAAGTGACCCCTTGGGTTGCAGAGTGACCCCTTGGGGTGCAAAGTGACTCCCCCCAGGATGCAAAGTGACCCCTCAGGGTGCAAAGTGACCCCTTGGGGTGCAAAGTGACCCCTTGGGGTGCAAAGTGACTCCCCAGGGCGCAAAGCAGCCACCGAGGCCCCAAGCGCTGGCACTGGCAGCGCCACGGATGGGAGTAAGGGGACGTGGCCGTTGCTGCGTGCCGCGCCGTGCCGTGCCGTGCCATGCCCCACCCCAGAGGCGGCTGCGTTTCAGGGCTGGGCTGAAACAGTCCCCAGATATCCTTTGAGTTCCTTCCTGTGGAGGTGGGGGCAAATCCTAATCAGTTAATGTTTGCAGTGCCCTTCGAGATAACCGCAGCGGGGCAAGGCTGCGCCGGCTAATGGAGCCGGCCAGTCCCCGGGAAGCAACGCGTTCCCCCAAAACCACGGGAGCCAACCCGTGATGCACCAGGAAAGCGGGGGGGGGGACCCACGCCAGCACCCCAATAGCCGGAGCAGGGAGGGCTCGCCGGCAAACTTTGCTCGGCAGCAGGGAGAAGCGAGCGGCTCTTATCTGATGGGGGAGCCGGGCTGGGGGCGAGGGAGCCGGGAGCCCGGGCGCGGAGCTGCACCTGGCACTAGCCTGCCTCGATAAAAAGGTGATAGCAGAGATAACGCCGAGCAGCAATAACGGCCACTAAAGCTTTCAGCACGATGGATAAAAATCGATATGCCAGGCACTTTGATTTATAGCCAAAAATAATAGGACTTTTATACCCGGTGATTGATTTATTTGATGTTAATCATTCTGCTTATCACCTGTATTAATAATCTCCAATGCCGGTGACGTCACCCCTGGGTGTTCGCTCTGGCGCCGATCGATTGGGCTCCGCGCTGGTTATCCGCCCGGGACGCCAAGGCAAACATGTACTTTGGGCGCTAATCTTCCACACTGTCATATGCAGATAGGCTTTATCAGCTGCATCTCCAGCAGCAGTTAATGGAGAAAATAATTGTTATCAAGTTGCTATGAATACGCCACAAATAGAGCCGTGATGGGAGGGGGCTGAACCGGGCGACGTGGGGGCCCGTGGTGGGATGGGAGAGATGCAGGGGGCTTTGGGGGTGGGAGGTGGGTGCCCACCCAGGGATGGCTCGGGAAATCCCCAGGGAGGATGAGTGGGTGGGCTTGGCTGTCCTTACGGGTCATCCCGTGGGGCGCAGGGGACCCCACAGCTGGGCAGTGGGATTTTGAGGGACACAGGGATTTTGAGGGGACCCCCCCGCCCCTGCTCATCCTCAAGAGTGAATCCCCTTCCCACGCACATCCTGGCCCCAGGGTGTCACCGGTCCACTGGTCCTGACCCCCGTGGGATGCTGCCTCTGAAATTCCCTGCACGTGACCTGCTGCCTTCCCTCTCCTGCTACAGAGTCCAGAGACACCCCGGAGAGTCCAAAGGAGCCGGAGAAGCCGGATCCCGGAGAAAACCCACAGGAGCTGGACACCTGGAACGGGCCAGGTGAGTCCCCGATGTGCGGCTGGTCATCCCACTCCGTCCTGGCTGGACCGCGGGCTGGAGCAGCCGGAGCAGCCCCCAGGCATTCGCCACCTCTTGCAAAAACCAGTATGAGGAGGACTGGGAGCACTGGGAGCTGGGCAGGCTGCAAATACCAGCATTTCTACTGAGAGAGGAGATAAGAGATGATGACTGTGGTCCCCCACGTCCCCAGGCTGCCGTTGGGGTGGTAAAAACCGAGCCAGGAGCAGCGGGGATGCCGGCACCATGGCTGGCATCGCGCTCCCCGGCGCAGGGCAGGTTTGGACCCCATCCTGCATCACCCCGTGCTCGCGAGGGCACTTTGCAAACATCCTGGCAACCACAAGAGCGACGCTCGAGCGGTTTCGCGATGGTTATCAAAACCCCAAGGAGCAAATACAGCTGTCTATCTCCCCCTCGGCATCTCCGCGCCGGGGCCGCCAGCGCCCTGGCAGCCTGGCGAGGCCAGGCGTGCCGTGTGGGTACCCCGCGCCCTATCGCCCTGCTATCTCCAAACCGACCCGCCGATGGGGTTACGGTCGGGGTTCCGCCGCCCAGATTGGGTTTGCGGGCGCCCGTCCGCTGGGGACGGCACCCGGCGAGTGGACGGAGGTGGGTCCGGGATGGGGAACTGAGACCTCCAAGGGTGGATGTGCCGTATTTCGGGCCCCCTTCGTGCTGCCAGCCCCCACCCTGTTCCCAGGGGACCTCCCGGCTAGGCGATGCCGGTGGATTTGGTTTCGGAGCAGCGCGTGATGGGAAGGGGTGACCGTGATGTGGGACAGCGATCGCCCTTCTGTGATGGATGCAACGGCGGGGGGGATCCCCGCGTTTCCCCAAAGCCGCCAGCCTCCCGCGTGAGCTGGGCGATGGAGAAGCCCTGGGAAATGCCGGCCGGCAGCGCACGTGCTCCCGCAGCTGCCAAAATCCCCACGGTGCAGTGGGGAGCCGTGGCTCCGCTCCCCCTTCCCGCCCCATCCGAGGGGAAGCTCTCGCCAGTCCCGCTGATATCCCAGCCCTTCCTGCGTGCCGGCCAGGAAGGAGCTGCGAGGCCACCCCCGGCTCCTCCTTATCTGCTCCCCAGCCCTTTGCCCCCGGCTCCTGGGCTGGCATCCCGGTGTAGGGCAGGAGGGGGCTGCGATGCCAAACCCACGGGCGTCCCAGTATCCCGGGGGTCACGGCACCGCGGAGCCCCGTATCCCAGCAGGACCGTCGACCACGGGCTCCCCAAAAGGGGCCACGAAGCCTCGGCTCTGGCCATGCCTCCCCTTCACCCCCCCACCTTCCCTCGGCGGAGCGGGTTATTTGCATTCTTTATGTAAAAGAGATTTTATTATCGCCTTCTCCCAGCCCATCTCTATTCTGGTAATTGGAGTGGTATTAATTTCTGTGTGGCTGGGAGTTGATGGCGGTCCGGCGATGCTGCAGCGATAGGGTGTTCCTTTCGCACCAACCGCCGCGATAGCCCGTCTATCAGGCGCTCTGCAGGCTCTGCACTTATCAGGGATGGAGCTGGCGAAAAGGGAAACTCTGAGCAGCCTGAATTTTCTTTTTTATCTGGCAGGATCCGCCGTATGTCAGCAATGGCAGCCGCGAAGATGCGGCACGGGATGGGGGGGGGCAAGCGGATGGCTCCGGGCGCCTTTGTTCGTGCCCTGTGGGCTTCTCACCTTCCCCTGGCCCTTTCTGGGGGGCTACGGGGCTAAGCCCCCCCCTATGGCTTTACCCTCTGGGTCTCCAAAATTGCTGCTGTGCCGGAGGCTTGGCAGCGTGGGGACGTGGCATGCCGGGACCTCACCTTGGGGCTCCTCGGCCCCGCATGCCGGCGAGGGAGAAGGAGTATTTTGTTTTATCTTTGAAATGACCTTGTTTGCTGGAGGGGGCTGCCGCTCGCCCAGCTGATGTGCAAATCCCTGGGAGCTGGAGGCTGTAATCCTTGACTTGGGAACCTTTACAGATGTGCTGCCCCTTCGGCCGGGGTGCTGGGACGCCCCGACTCGGTTCTGCTTCCCGATGGGATCTTGGGATGGAGCGTGGCCGTGCTTCGTGCCCACTCGTGCCAACCACTTCATCCTCTGGTGGGTCCGGAGAGGGGATGCGCATCCTCCCCAATTCCCCCAAACCACCCCAAATTCCCCCAAACCCTTCCCCACAGCCCCGCCAGCAGCTCTCTGCCGTGCCCCAGGTTTCCATCTTTCCTATTCATTTTTGTTTGCTCTGGAGCGGGGCCAGTAGCGGAGACTTTTGGGAGCACCCACAGCCTCCAGCTCCCCTCCCAGGGCTGTCCTCTCCTGCCCCATTGCTGCCCGGCCACCCTCACTAAGTCTGGCCAATTTTCCCAGAGGGGTAAGGTGAAAAGCTCCAACAAATATCACGAACGTGGTGTTGGGACAGAGGAATGGAGGAGAGCAGAGCCCCGCTGAGGGACAAGCTGCTCAACCACAGTACGAGACACTAGAGAATCCCCGCAGGGAGCTGCCCGGAGGCTGCAGCCCCTGGGAAGCCCGGTCAGCGCTCACCTTTCTGCAAGGTAGGATGAAGCTTTTTGCTTTTGTCACTGTGGGGACACTGCCAGGCCACCGATAGGCAAGGGATGGAGCAGATGGAGCCAAACCGAGGGTGGCTTTTGCCTTGTCCCCTGCAGCCATGTCCCCCCACCCTCCCCAAAAGAGTAGCGGTTACTCCCAGGGGGTTCCTCACCCCCTTTGCTACTTCGGCTTGGCTGTCCCCACCAAGATTTCCACCTCGCTGAGCCCCCAACCCCCCGCTGCCAGCTCATCTGTTCAGGGTTTATTTAATTGCTCCCAGGTGGTAACGATGGCTCTGGGTTAATTACAGAGCATGGCACAGGTCCACCTCTCCCAAGACCAGCCATGAACCCCAAATCCATCCTCGCCACCACTCCTGCATGCGGGGTATCAGGATGGGACAGAGCAACTTCTTATATTTTTGGTGCATCTAATTAAAACTGCAAACTTTTTTTATATTGCCTTTCCCCCGGCCGCCTCCCCCTTCCCCTTTGCCTCCCGCTCGCCTTCGGTTGTGTTTATCTGCGCCATGACTCCTGCCTGAATAATCTCCGGCTGCCCGGAGTTTGTCTGCAAACCTCAAGGTTTATTATCGGGGCGAGCAGGACACGATGAGGAGGGACGGATGGCCAGCCCCTCGCTGCATCGCTCCCCCTTCCCCTCCACCCTGGTATGTGTGGGTGGGAAAAATTATTCCAGCTATTTCTTTTTATCGCTGGGAGCCGGGCTGAGGGGCAGATAGTTTTGTATGTGTTAGATTGCTGGGGGATGGGGAGAAGTTGGGGTTCAGAGAAGTAGCACCCCTGACAGTTGGGGGGTCCCCCAGGGCCCTGAAACCCCCCTGCCTGGCTTGTGTCCGGCAAAGCTGCGTGCTGGCACCGAAGGCAGCGGGATGTTTGGCATCAGGATGGGGAAGGTCCCAGCAGAGGTGGTGGCATCTGTCCTGGATTGGGGGTTTCAAAGGGGACCCCATCCCTGCTGGGGTCTGTACCCGCAGGTCCCTGCTATCTGTTCGGCCTCTGTCTGGGGACACTGCAGGGTGGAGGGATGCTCAGGACAGTTTGGGGACATTGATGGGCTGAAGGGATGCTCAGACCGGTTTGGGGACCTTGATGGGCTGAAGGGATGCTCAGACCGGTTTGGGGACATTGCTGAGTGGAAGGATGCTCTGACTAGTTTGGGGACACTGCTGGGGTGGAGGGATGCTCAGGCTGGTTTGGGGACAGTGCTGAGGTGGGAGGACACCCCGACCAGTCTTTCCCACAGCCTAGCAGGGACACCGCTGCGTCGGGCAGCACCGGGAGAGTGTTGAGAGGTGCAGGCAGCATCCCCCGCCTCTATCCCCATCCTCCCTTCCATTTTCCCTTGGGAAGGAGAAAAACGTCTTGCACGCTTGGGGTGAGAGCCCTGAGGGCGATGCTGCCAGGCTCCCGGTGACTGACAGCTGTCAATCACTACTGCCTTGCCGCTCTGCCCTGGGCTGGATCTGAGAACCGGTGGGTTTTGGGGGGTTTGGTGTGAAGCCGAGCTCCCACCCCCGCCTCCATCTGGGTGCTGCCCCCCCGGGGGCCCTCCCTCCCCCTCCCTGCAGGCAGGCTCTGCGGCAGTGCCCCCCCCCATGCGGTCCCCTCCTCTTTTTCCGGAGGGGATATCTACCCTCTGCATCGGCTCCGGGGCCCCTTTTCTCCCCTTCCTCCCCCCTCCCCGTCTGGTTTCCTGCCCCCCCTCCAGTGCACCCCTACCCGCTGCCTGGCACCAGCCCGGGCAGCGCCAGGGGGTCCCAGCAGCCCCATGAGTGGGGACAGAGCAGGGACAGGGGGTCCCTGGCACAGGGGTCCAGCCACCCCCTGACAGCCCAGGGAGAGCCGGGAAGTTTTCCTCCTTCCCATCCTAGCTGAGCACTTTCTGATGTTATTCCCAGTGTTTATTCCTGTCCCCATCCCTGTGGGCGCAGCTCCCATTTATTTCCTGGGATGGGGACCCCAGCCTTGGGATGGGGACCCCTTGGGGACAGGGACCCCCCCCCCCTCAGGGCCACATCCCAGTAAGGTGCAGCAACACCCCGCATGCAAACGTCCCGGGGAGGCTTATCGGGACGCATCCTGCTGGGGCAGGGCACCCCGGCTTACGTGGGGTGTCGGGAAGGGCAATTCCCTGGGCAACGCGTGGCACGGCCAGTGACCGCCCTGCTGCCAGCGCCTGCCAGCTGTGCACCACAGCTGGTGAGCGGGGTTCCCGGCCCTTTTGGGGTGCAGCACCTCCTGGGTGCCAACGCTTCCCTCCCCGGCCCCCCCCCTGCATGCCGGGAAGTGCTGGTTTTGCTCTCCCCGGGGTAGGTCACAGCTCCTCCATTAACCGGGGGCAGGGTTCAGCCCGATAAAGATTTGCTTTTGTACTCTGTAAAAAAAAAAAAAAAAAATCAATAAATTGCAAACGATGGGCAGGAGCGATAAGGGCAGAAATCTCTCCTCAGCTCCTGTACTGCCAGGGCAGCGGGGTTCCCCGCTGCACCCCAAAGCCGGGGAGGCAGAACCAGCAGCAGCCCGGCTCTCCCACGACCGTCCCCACTCGGTCTGCGGCAGCTCGGCCAGAGCAGCCCCAGGCTGAGCCCAAGCAGGCGCAGCCCAGCAAGGCTCGAATTTAAACCCTCCTCGCTCCTTTGTCGTCCCCAAGGCTGCCCTGATTACTCGAGCACCCGGGACGGCAAAGCCGGGATAATCTCCTTAGCCCCTTTGGAGAGATTTCCCTTTGTGAGCGGAGGTGAAGAGTGGAGATGCTGCGTGTTCACAGCTTAAGACTCTTCCCAATCGGCTCCCTCCATCTTATCGGAGCGGTGCCATCACATCATTTCACTAGTTGAGTTGTCAGGATTTATTCCTTCCGCCGTGCACTCGCCGCTTCTAAAAACAGCAGCTGGGGCGTGCGGCGGGACCGGGGCTGCCGGGGGAGCCGGGGCTTCTCCAGCTTGGATTTGCCCGGGCGGGAGCGGGAGAGCCATGGGAGCTTGAGTACCGATGGATGGATGGATGGATGGATGGATGGATGGATGGATGGATCCATCCTCCCTCCTTCTTGGGGGTTCCTGTGCCATGGGGACATTGCGCACGTGCTGGGATGGGAACAGAGACCACCAGTTTATCCCCGTTCTCCCAGGCTCTGCATCACCAGGGCTCATGCAGGCGCCGTACCTGGTGTTGTGGCCCCCCAGGGCTGGCAGCCCCCGGGGCCGGGCGTAAAGCGCTGTATTAATAGGAGTGGCATGCGGTGCGGCTGATGCTGGGATGCGGTCCCGTGACACCCCGATAGCGGTATTTATCCAGATAGTATCCAGGCAGCTGCAAACACTGCGGGGACCTCCGAGCCCGGATCCCCACCGAGGGGCAGAGCGGGTTCATTCGGATTTGATTAAAGTCACACAGATGCGGTTGGGGCAAGGAGATGCTATTTATTTCCCTGGCCGTAAGGATGCTGTGGGTCGCCTTGCAGATGGGCTCTTGCAGAAGTTCATCTTTATCGCATCCCGGTCCTGCGTTCACCCCGTGCTGGAGGAAGATGCAGCCGTGTTGCGCGGTGATGCCTCACCAGCACTGTGCACCCCCGCAGGCTTCATTCTTGCCCATACGCCCACCCGGGACCCCCAGGTCCCCAGGGACTCAGGTGCCAGCTGTGCCTTCTCAGCCATTGATTGCCCGATACGTGGCCGCAGTGTGATGAGAGGATTAATCTTGGCTCTCCGGCACAGCTCAGCCTATTTCTTTGAAATCTCTCGATGGGGAGATAAGCCGAGGCGCAGCACCGGGCGAGCAGGTGCTGTCAGTCCTGGGGGGCAGGGAGCAGCCCCGGCACCCCGTATTTTGGCAGCGGGCAGAGGACCGGGGTCCGTGCTGCGCCGAGCAGGTGCACCCAGCTCGCCGGGGGCTTTTTCTCCTCCTTCCTTTCTTTGGGACCCAAAGCAAACAGTCGGGTCCCTGCCCAATTTGGTTAATGATCTGGGAGATAAACCCTCCCGCGATAACGGCGGGGCACCGCCTGGCCAGGGACCGATGGCCAGATGAGATACCCAGGGTGGTGTTCACCTGCCGGGGGGGATCCCGTGGGAAGGGGGCCCGCGCCCGTGGACTTTGCTCCTCGCCGCTCGCCGGGGAGGCTGCTGGGGGGGTCACCCGGGACACCCCACGGGCTGGCGTCGGCTTTTCCCAGCCTCCCTAGGTTGCAGGCGGAGTGATGTGGCCGAATCCGGCGCCGTCAGAGCGCAGGGATGGGGCTCGCTCCCCGCTGCGTGGTTGTCCCCGCGTGGGGACACGGCTTGCTCGCTCGCTTTGGGCTTTGTTCCCAAAGCCCAGACAAGGTGAACACGCAGCATCTCCCAGTTTGCCCCATCCCAGCTCGGCACCGTTTCCCCCGTGGCAGGGAAGCAGCGCAGCGTTGCCGCGTGTTTTATTTGGAAATCACCATTTTCCTCCTCTTTTTTCTGGCCGTATCAACGTGGGTGCAGGCGGGTACCGCAGGGGCTCCGGCAGCATCCCTGGCCGGGCACAGGGACGCCCATCCAGACGGAGAACCGCTCAGCACCGGGGGTTCACCACCGCCCAGTTTTTGGGGTGACACTGGTGGCTTGGGTCACCGGCCGGTGCCGTGGCCATCAGGCGCTGACGGGGAGCGGGGCCAGCTCCGGCAACACTATTTTTGTCCCCCTGTCTGGAACCGTTTTCTCTTTATCAGCGCCTGCGTGTTTTCTCTGCTGGGGATTGATACACAGAAGATGAAGTGCTCTGACATGGGAAGTGTCAGGCGAACGCTCTTATCTCAGAGACATGGTCTCCTGACCCAAACGCCGCTGATTACCAGTGAGACGGGGGGGAAGGGGGGACAAAAAAGGGGGGGGCATGGGGTGGGGGGAGGTGGCGGTTGGGCTCCGTTCCCCAAAAGCAGCCAGGCTATACGGGATGGCAAAGCTAGAGGGGAGCCACCACCGTTGGGGTTCTCCTGGGGATTTGGGGGTTTGCTGTCCCCTCCCCAGAGCCGGAGGGACGAGGACCGGTGACCTGGGGATGGTGGGACCGCGATGGAGGGGCCGGAGGGAGGCCGGCACCCTGGCAGCATGTCGGGAGTCAGCCAGGAGCCGGGCGTTGGAAATGTGGAGAGACGTGCACCGTGCAAGGGTTCCGCTCAGCCCCGAGGCCATGCTGATGGCCGCATCCTGCCCAGCGGCTCTGCTCCCTGCCTGCCCCCCCTGGGGCTTTCATGGGAGGGACCAGCCGGGCGAGGGGCTGCTGCTGCCCCTCCTTGGCATCGGTTTGTGCCAGGGAATAAATCCCATCGGCTCCTCAAAGGCCCCAGCCTTCTGCCGTCCTTCTCCCTGTCCTGAGATGGAACCAGCGGGGGCACGGGCAGGGGGATGCCAGCACCGTGCTCACTCCCAAAAACCTCTTTGCTGAGGATGAAATCCCAGCTAGAAAGACAAAGCCAGGATCCCCACGGCCGGGGCGGCTTTCTGAGGGTGCTGGCTCCAAGCCAGCGCCGAGGGCTCCCGGGTCAAAGGCACCGAGGCACCGCGGGCAGGAGGTGCTGCCAGAAAGGGGAAGGCAGGCAGCCCTGCCTGCACCCCGGCAGGGCAGAGGAGTCTGCGGGCAGAGCACATCTCTCCGTTCGCCGGCACGTGCTGGAGGCTGGGGACCAGCCTGGTGACCCCAAAGATCTCAGGGACCTTTGACGCCTTCACAGACCTTTTCTCCAGCCAGCCTCCTGGCTGGTTTTGCCAAGGGACGCCGGCTGCTGCCCTGGGGACGTGCTCGGAGCCACGGTCCCAGCGGCATGGGGCTTCTTCGGTGGATGGAGGGGACCCACGGGTGACGGTGGGATGCGGGCGATCGCGGGTGCCGCCAATCCCATGCTCACCACCCAGGGCTTCCAGTCGCTCACCTTAACTTACCCCAGTGCTGAGAGGATCCAGATGTCAGCCCGGCTAATAAACACATCAGATTTCAATCTCCGCAGCCATGGGATCGCTTTATCCTCCCCGCGCTCCCAGCTCTGAAAGCAATTTTGCCTTCGAACGAGCGCAGCCTCCTCCCCGCCCACGGGACCCGGGCACTGGCTGCATCTGCCACGGTGCCCTCGAAGGATGGGGCTCCAGGCACGTGGCTTTAGGGGGGCTCTTTTCCCTGGCATGGGGGTAGGGGGAACCCCACTTCTGCCCTGGAGCACCCTGGGGTGCTAGAAGCCTTCCCGGCTGCAGACGGGTGCCCCGCTGGCTAGCTGGTGCTTGGCTCGCTGTCCTCTGAGAGCATCTGTTTTTTTGGGGTGCAGGGTCTAGCCCCTTCCCGTCGCGTGGCGAGGGGCAGCCGACGCACATCCATCTGCGTATTGGTTACCTGCCATCTTATCTGCGCTCCGAAAGACAAAGGCACAGTTAAAACATTTTAGAGCAGCCTTCATAGCGTATTAACATGTTATCTAACCCATTAAACCAGAGGCTTATCAGATAATCAAAGCCATTAAGCCCTGAAGCTGCTGTGACTTTGGGTGCGGGGATGGGAAACGCTCCTTCCGCTCTCCCGCCGTGCCGTGCCCGGACCCCCCGTGCCGTGCCTGCACCCCCCCAGCAAGCGGCCGGATCCCACCCACCCACCGTGGACGCGCAGCCCCGGAGGACTCGGCAGCTCTCGGCTCCGAGTGGGTGCCCCCGTCCCCAGGGACCTGGGGCTGCCATGGGTCGGGGGTCCGGCTGGGAGGGCATGGTGCTGATGCTGTGCCTGTCTCTCCCTGCAGGTGAGCTGGATCTGGCCGTGCAGGACGGGGAGAGGCGGGTGCGAACCCGCAGGAGCCTCCCCGAGGGCTTCTCCTGGGGACCCTTCCAGGGCAGCATCCACAGCGAACCGGCATCGCCGGGGCACAGCGAGACGGTAAGGAGCAATGCTGCCATGGGCTGCCGGGGAGACTGGTGGGGAAAGTCCCGAGGAACCAAGTTGTTTGGGGAGAGGAGTCGGTTCGGGAGGGATTTTTCCCTACCAGAGCTCCCGACCCCTTGGGAAGCGCCTGGTTTGGGTGCGCGGGAGGTTTCCCTGCCGTACGCTGCCCACCGCCCCGAGATCAGAGCATCGCAGGGGGACAGGACACTGGCCGTCCCCTCCCGCCCGTGGCTGCAGGCAAGCAGGCTGCTCGGTGGCACGTGCATCCTCGCGGAGGAGATGGGATCTGGGTTCCCCATCCCAAATTTGCTCCCAGGGGATTCCGGTTGCGCCTGGAAAGCGCCTGGGCTCTGCAGCCCACGGTGAAGGAGCACGCCGTCGGCCGCACGCTGGGTGTGCATGAGTGTGTGTGGGTGTGCATGTGGCGGGGCTGTGTGCATGTGTGTGTGTGCGTGTGCTCATGGGGGGTTGCAGGCGCTGGATCCTCGCATCCCGGCCGCGTCCTTCCCCCCACCGCATCCCCTCCGAGTCGCACATGGGCAGCTCCAGCCCAGGAGCTTCGAGGCCGGAGAATCTCGCCCGGGCTCCATCCCCACCTCCTCCTCCTCCTCCTCCTCTCTCCCTCGCTTTTTTCTTTTTTTTTTTTAGCTCAGGCCCGTTTATCTTTGCCGAATTAAATCCTTGATTAACCCTTATCTGCCCAGTTTGGCTCCCTATCTCCCGGTTGGCGCCGTGTGTCCAGACACCCGGTACAGGATGATTGATTTCTTAAAGATATGCGCGGCTTTTTTCTGATACTTCATTTATTGTCTAAATATTTTTGCTCCCATTTCAGCAGCTCCCTTATCGAGCCCGGCTGATGATTCCCAGCCCTGCTCTCCTCTACCGCTCGCCTCCCTCCCTATCTCTGCTCAGGGAAGCGAGGAAGGAATCGCAGCCCCATCCCTGATATGGGCTGTCGCCCTCAGGTCCCTTCGTCTTTGTTGCTGGCGGCGGAGGGGGGGTGCAGGGGGTCTCCCCCAAATCCTGCCTGGCTCTGCTGTCCATCTCCTTGTCGGAGATTTTCCCATCCTGGGGTTTTAGTGGGAAATGGGAACACTGGGTGGCTTTAACGCCTCTGTGGCATGGAGCATCGCGTGTGCCCATTGCTGCACTGATGGAGGAGAAGGAGAAGGTGCACTGATGGAGGAGGAGGAGGAAGATGCCTGTCTGCCCCCAGCTGGTCCCATGGGGTTCCCCCAAAACCAGCCTTGCTCGGGAGGGTGTGCAAACCCACTGGCAGCACCAGCCCGGGGGTGCCAAGGGCCAGTGGAGCCCCACGTGCCGGCTCGCCCCGTGGCTGGCCCTCCCACA